GGGGAGGGGAGCGGTGGCAGGGGCAGCCACTCAGCAGGACCTGCCGTGCAGCCCGGCAGCAGGACGCCCCTTGAGTTGGCGCTGGGTGCTTGCACCACCCTAGGTCTGGGGCCAGGTCCGGCCTGAAGGACAGTCTCAGTCACAGTGTAGTGGCTGACACAGGAGCTACAGGGGCAGAAAACACTGCTCGGAATGCTGGCCCCGCAAGCTCGGGCAAGTCCCTTCACGTCTCAGAGCCTGAGCTTCTGGCTGCATGTTGTGGAGATGTAACATCTGCCACCTGGTCTTTGCAAGGCCCAGACAAGGTGCGCATGTGACGGTGCTCGGTGAACTGTCATAGTGGTGACCGCACGCTCACTCCCGGTGCCACCCTTAGAACCTCCGCCTGTGGAGCCTCAGTACCTAAAGTCAGCTGCTGATTCACCTGACCCCTGCTCTGCGATGGGAAGACGTGCCTCACACCCAGTCCCTGGTCTCTGGAGGTCTCAGCCTAGCGGGGCAGCGGATGGTTCCCTCCTCTGTCCAACCAACAGTCTGGGATCGACTCCTTTGGTGCTGGGTGGCCATGAGAGAGGAGCTGGAGATGAACCCGACACCGACCCAGGCCTCAGGGGTTAGTGGTTTATCCCCGGGCTCACCCCCAGCGCTCAGCCCACCTGCCCCGAGCAGGGTGGCTGCCATGGCCCAGCCTCCCGCCTTTGTCACGACTCAGGAGGCCCCTCCCGAGCTCTCCTGGCCCCACCCCGGCTCCCCCAGGCCCTGGGCTTGCATCTGGGCGGTGGTCTCCCCCAGTGACTACTCACTCTCCAGGTGACCCCAGTGCCCAGCACCCAGTGCAGGACCGGCACGGCGAGGGGCCTGATTTCTGCTGAATCAGCAGATGAAAGAACAGGACTCTGGAGGCCCCGTGAAGAATGAGAGGATGCGAGGTGACCGAGCCCCTGTTCCCTGCCGGGCCTGGTGGGGGATGGTGTCGGAGATGAACCCGACAGCACAGGGGACCATGAGTCTACCAGCAGCAGCCACAGTCACGGGCACTGGAAGGTGACGTTGAGGTGGAGGTGGGCTGGACTGAAGGGCGAGAGGGTGGGA